GGAAAAACAATCACAATGAGATTGAAAACCTATTTTAGAAGCCAAGATGGGCAGCAGGAAGCACAGTTAAGTTACACATTTAAAACCAAAAAGTGCTAAGTATAAGAACAAARTAAAGTCTGATCCTGAACCTGGTATGGAAATATTTTCACTCATACTAATGGTAATGCAGCCAGCTGTTATTTACAAAGTTCTCAGCCACACAGGTAAACAGAAATAACCAAGTTCTTTTCTCCTAATTTAAAGCAGTGAGCTGCACTGAGCTGCTGAAAAAAATCAGATCATCAAGCAAAASCAAGTGCAGCTTTCACATGCAACATGCTGAGACACACTGGACAAGCGTCGTGGGTATCCTTCTCCGATAGGAAAAAACCACAAGCGCTCGGACACGCGCGTGAACCCGGGCTCACAGCCTTGCTATGGGCTGGGAGTCCAGTCTTACTCTTCTCTGCTGCCATTAAAACAGCAGAAGAGTGGTAGTTTGTCAGTTAGCTAAACAGACAAAGTACGATGTTGCTCTGCTAAGAGGTTTTCCCACGTTAGCAAGCTAAACCAGGGTGAGCGACTTCTGCTAGTTAGCAAGCWAAACAAGTCAGAAGTCAGTGAAGCAGAAATTATTTTCTGTTAGCTATGCTAAACGGGTGTTGCAGGTCAGCAGGCTAAACCAGCAGAGGTACAGAAGCACTTGTAGTGACGCCCTGGGCAGGGAGCTAGCTCACCTCCRATCGGACAGTTAAGTCAGCTACAAGAGACATGTTGCAGGTTAAAGTGAGGTGAAGTGCAAAAAGATAGAAGAAATGAGACTTCGTCTTATATACAGGAGGGCGGGGCCTCCTGGAGATGCSTGCAGCAATCTCATTGGCCTTAACAGGCSTGTTGAAAGAAACGTCTTCAGGTTGGTGTCGCGAGGACGCAATCCCCAKACTTATGTGTTGTACCGAATGTACTGACCGAAAGGAACGTTGGTTACATTCGTAACCTCCAGATCATCTAGACTGGAKGCCTCTCTCATCAATTTAAACAAAATGTGGCTGTTTTTTAATAAATGTGAGCCGTCACATCGAAATGAGGATTAAGTCCAAAAGNGTTAATATTATTATTAATAGTTTTAATGATTTCTACATCATCAGTCCTTTTTTTCTGCTCTGTTGTCAACATGTACAGTGATGAGAAATCCAGAGTCTTGACTGGTTAGCGTTAGCCGTTAGCTTCACCAGCCGATCACATGGTCACCTGGTGTTTTTGTGCACTCCAGCTGCTCTATAGAACCTCCTTGGATGGATTCTGTTGTGTATTCACCTTAGAAGACAGAAAATATTACTTTAACTCAGTTATACTAAAGTTGAGCTAAAACTTGATGTGATAGTAGCTGAGTTATTCACATCACATGCTCCCACATGCCTGTCTAAAACTTTAGTATTCAGGAAGTGGGGCCTTGCATGATTAACTACTTAAATTTTAGTTTTGATTTGAATAAATAAAAACTCATCTTAGGTTTCTCCTTATCTTGAGATCTGGCCTTTTGGCACTAAACAAGATAATCTGCATAGTTGTAAGACTGAAACCGAACCTCTTTTCATTCTTCAGAAGTGCTCTAGCTTATCTGTTCAGAAATATTTGACGGCATTGTTGTGGCTGTGTCCATTTTAAATCACCAGGAGAACTATAGTGCCCCCAAGTCCTGCTGCAGGCTGAGACTGTGACCTCAGCAGACACATGTGGACGAACAGCTGTGCTGAGCATCTCATGAAACCTGCAGGACAAGTTCTCCAAAAAGGAGAACCAACGGCAGAGAGAGAAAAGGAACGAGCTGAAAGACGAGCTGAAGCAAAGGCCGTTCACCGGAAAGAATGAGGGCTGGAGGAGAAGAAAAAGGTTGAAATGCTGACAAATTCAAGGCCAGAAAAATGTTTTGAACTGTAGCGCCACCTGCTGGTCTTCCAAACAGCTTTAACTAGCAAAAACACAACATTTCTGCTCTTTTAAGAACTGCTCCACTCATAAACAGAGAAATTTATCACGCCTAAATTATTCTATTAGTTATATTTTATTCATTTTTGATGTGTCAAAAAGTGCAGGAAAAACTGGTCCATGATTTTATTATTGTTGTAATTCTTTATTTTTTGGATGTTCAAAAAACACGTAAAAGGTCTTCAGTTGATCCAAAACGCTGCTTTCAGAGTTCTGATGGGTGTTAGAAGGAAATATTATATTTTTCCAGTTTCAGCTTTTCTACATTGTCTCTCAGTCAAATACTGAATAAAACCTTCAAACACAGACAGCTCTCAACAACGAAGCTCCATCTTATATAAAAGACCTTTTACATCACACTTTGCTGTCAGACTGCAGGTTTACTTTTGGTTCCTGGAGTTTCAACAATGATAAACAGATAGTAATAATAAAAATACCTCATGCTTGTACTTTGCTTCAGCTTTTTAACGAGTTTATTCCAGATCTTCACACCAAGGACAGAAATGCACATTTTTTCCTTGTTGTTTTAGCCTTCAAATTTCTAAAGTTGAGGTTTTCTCTATAATCATATCCACCCACTCTGTCAGAAACTAATTTTAGATTATTTTCTGGTAATATTTTGTTTCTGACTTTATACATAAATTGTGCAGTTTGAAACTCTCAGTGAGTTTCAGTAAGTAAGAATCTATAAATAAATTGTGGTTATGACAATAAAAATCTACCTTGTGAACTGAACGAATGGCTCTTTTCTGTAATAAATGCATAATGGTTGAAGTGAAGTTCTGTAAGTGTTGCCCCAAACTTCCACACAATAACTTAGATATGGTAAGATAAGTGAATAGTACAAAACATATAGGGCAGAGGAGTTTAGAAATTTTCTAGCATCGAAAAGAACTGCAGTACTTCTTGTTATTTTCGATTGAACATATTTTATATGAGGTTTCCAACAGATCTTATTTTGAATCAATGGGCCTCATGCAAGAACATGTTCGTATTCTTCTCCTAAATTTCTCTTACTTTTGTTCGTACAAAGGTTTCGTACGAACATGTCACGTCAGATTCAACAAAC